AAGAAATACTTTTGCCGATCCGGGAAGAAAAAATAATGAATCTTCTAAAACAAAGCGATTAATAGTAGTGATTCGCAATTGGCTCTCTCATTCGTAATTGGCGCCACAATCATCCTTCGAATTACGTAATTCGCCATACAATATTTTGAGCGAATTTGTAGATAATTCAGATCCAATTACCAATGTGAATTGCGAACAAATCGCTGTCGTCTCTAATTTTAATCGGAAATTTATCGAACTCAGCTGTCAGAGCAAGAGAGAATAGAAAAAATCAAAACAAAGAAAAGGAGGAAATGAAGGAAAACACAATGAATTGTCAAATCGAATTAGGAATGAGTCGTGTAAACGGGGTAATTCACCAAAGTAATTCGAAGGGAACTACATACGTAATTGGCAGTGCTCGTGGGGACCAAGAATGATAGAATACATCGTGGTGGGGACATAGTATAAAGCACTTTCAAAAGTTGAAACTGCTTAAGGGATTAAGAATAAACTGACACTTTTCATGCATTTATAAATCTCTACATTCTTATAAGCTCAACAATTGCCATACAATAATCTTAATAAACAGAATAATTACTTTTCAGCCATGGGCACGGTACCACCTCCATATATAAGTAAATATCATATCCATACATACATACATATATGTATGAATTTCATTACAAGTGTCCATCAAAAAGAGGGGCTCGACTGTACACAAACAAGTTCTACACTGCATTTATATTTACATATGTAAATACTTAAATATGTTAACAGATTAAAAAAGAAACTACTTGCACGCTTCACAAGTATTCATATGTCTGCGATAAAGAAGTCCAATGTGCGAAGAGCAGAAAATTTTTTCGCACAAATATACATACAAATACGTATGCAAATATCTACCTAATGTACTAATTAAAAAATCGCTAAAAAAACACTTTAAATAAATTCAGTTTACTAATTTTATCTCTAAACTTCTATAACTTGTTGGGGGGGGATTTTTATAAAAACGTACGCACTTATCCATTTTTGGATGAGATTGCGTATGAATGATTTGTAAATTTACTTGATACATATTCCTTCCAGCAGTATAATTTTAGCAGAGGCACATGATTAAATATAAATTAATAGATTGGCGCTTACACAATATGTTAGTGTTTGGCCGAGCTTCTCCACCGATTTTTGACGTGCGCCTTGATGTTGTCACACAAAGGGGAGAGACCGACCTACAGTTACACGACGATGCCGAATTTTATTTTTTATGAAAAGGAGGTTTCCCATTGCCTACTGAGAGGCAGGACCGCTATTATTTATAAAAAAAAAATATTATTTTCTTTTGTTTTTGATGTTAGTCGGTCTCTTGGCTCGATCCCAGGCCTTGCAGAATGGTAGTGCGCACTTCTAACCCGTGCTTGTACCTGACTTGTGGTGTTTTTGATCTTAATAACGAAAACTGACATATGGGTAAAATATAAAAGAATAATGTCGGGAGAATCTAAAAATATATATTCAGGCATTCGGTGCAATTTCAGATAAACTTTCATAGATTTTTAATCGGAAAGTTTAGAATTTTTGTATGATATATGCTGCTATAAAATTACTGATGTTTCTTTAAAGTTTTTATATAAATATTTGATATTTTCATTAGAAATAACCATAACTGTTAGCAAATCGTACCGATTTCAAATCGTGCAATTTACAGAACATGCCTGATTTTTTTCAGGATCTCTTGGAACCTAACGAAAAATAGCAACCAGCTCTGCACACCCAGCTACCGCTAGAATACTTTATAAATGTTTTTTCAAATGTTCTGTTTAAACAAAATTTCTTACTTTTTCTTTGTATTTTTTTGTTATTGTTTACATTTCAAGACTAAATCCATATTTCGAAAATTTCTACATCGTATGACTCAACAGATGAAATGGAACTAATATTTAACATCTTTACATTTACTATGACTATTCAATTCCAGAAAATATACATACATGCATATCGATACCTGCGTGGAAGATCGACCTATCTCGGCGGCCAGTTCAAAAGCGCCCTATCTCAGAAAAATTTTCAAAAACGCCCTCTTTCAGAATTTTATTGAAGAACGCCCCACTTCAGAAATCGATTCAAAAACGCTCTATCTCAACTGCCGATTCAAAAACGCTCCATCTCAGCACATTTTCAATGTATTTTCAGCTGATACAGCTTGTTTTCTATGAGAGAAATTCTCAGGAGATTTCATACAATTTAACCTAACCTTCAACCCAAAGACAAACAACTATATGTATACTGTACAATTACATAGCTTCCCACTCTTGTCTTTCACTATCAGCATATTCCTTGAGTTCGATTAAGAATTATTTTTTTTTTGGACAGACGCCAAGTACTTGATACATACTTAATTCGAAGTATTTTGTCTGCAGACATTGCATGTACATACATATGTATGTAGCTTACTCGTGCAGTATTTAATTTCATTTCGTATGATATATATGTGTGTTTTTCCTTGTCCGCTGGATCTCAAAGTTCTCTAAATGGATTTAGAGGTTGTCCAGACGAGAGCTCTCCGCAAAAGCTTATCGGTAGTCGATCGCTAAAATGCGGTTCACATTTTAGGCTAGTATCTTATTTATAGCAATTTGCCTTATCTATTTACAGTTTTTTGTTATCAGCGCAGACAGATTTTATATTTATAATGTAGACAGGCCATATTTTTGTAATTTACAGTCTTATCTGCACTTGCATTAAATACGAATGGATTTCACATACTCCGTCTAGTAAGATTGAGGGTATATACTCGAAAACAAAAAAAAAAAATATTATATATTTACTTACATACATACGCATGTATATCGCTCGTTTTCTTAACTTAAAGAAGGAGAAATGTACGCAGAAATGACTCCCTCTTCATGTTAGGTAAAAACTTCCTAACGATATGTCAATTGTGCCCCATAAGAAGAGCCTTTTCTTTTTTCCAAATTTTACTTACTTTTTACACTTGTCAAATCATTAAACTTTGGATATCGCTGGGTATTCTTTTAACTATACCAGTGACTAAAATGGTTAACGTAGGTTTTCTAATCGTTCATCCATCAAAAATCTAATTGCTGAAAACCTAGACAAAAAAGCATGGAAAATTCGGTTCTACTAGTTTTTCCAAATTATTTCATTAAAAATAGGACAGAAGTAAAAATAAGTTCTTTTTAAACCGAATTCAAAAAATTAGGATTAGATTATCAATTCGTCGGAATATTTTTTTATGTATGTTACCGCATAACTTTGGACCGCGTTAACCGATTTTTATAATTTATAATAAGGAAAGGTGGAAAGGTTTAAAGGAGAGGTGGTCCCATACCAATTTTGTTAACATCCGATTATTATCAAATATAAAAGAGCGCCAATGCATAATTCGCCGAGGTGTCTAACTGGTTAAGGCCGTCGTCCCTGGATTCAAATTAAGATTTGATTAAAGTTGTTGGTCATAATTACATTTTACTATTCTACTTTTTATTTTGTATTTAATTAGTTCAGTGAGAAAGTCTTGCGACAAAATTAAACCCGTTTTCCCCGCATTTTTATTTTTATTCTAATTTATTTTATACGCATGACGTTCTTTCAGCGAACGAGCTAACAGAAACAAAAAAAAACGTCAATTACAAATTAGAACTTTCCGAAAGCGGTTTACATAAAAGCTTATGAAGTTATTCAAAGTTAAAACAAGGTCTAATGCAAATTTGCCTGCGTTCAATATTTATATTGTACTTTCAAAATTTGTATATGTGTATATACATACGTTTGCATGCACCCTTGAAATAACATTGACCAATTATAGAATCAATGTACATTTTTTAAATTTTTTTTTGCAAATATGTTTATCGCTAATTTGAAAAGCTATTAATTTTTTTTAGTTATTCGCTTAATACCTTTTTGAGGTTATCATGCGCTAAATCAGGTCGTGGAGTATTAAAAAAAAGCTATGCGGCTTGGTGTGTGATTTAGGGAAAATAATTTAAATTCCACGTACCTACATATGTATGTACATAATAAAATGTATACTTGAATCACATATTGCTATGACCATGCCATTCAAGACCACGTTGGGCCGTAAAAAGGGTTGTATAAAGTATTCCATAACTCTAAAATGTCTTCCTTAATAGAAACAAAAAATAGTAATAGTATTCTTATGAAAGTAGTATTATTATCGTGCCAGTGGCATAAGTTTATGAACTGAAAAAATTAACACCCAAATCATGTATATATTTATAACATTAGTTGGGAAATAAATTTCAAATCTCAACACCCGCACAAACCATAATTTTATAAGTTTTTCCTTAATTTGAAATTTATAAGTTTTTCCTTAATGTGAACTATAGGTCATGGATTTTATCTTACAAACGAACGAAGCCACAACTTTGTACCGGTTTTACTGGCTATAAAGACAAAAAACTACTGGAAACTTTGCTATGGTCTGGATGTTGATTAAATCAGCAATATTTATTTATTTACTTTTCTAATTTTTCTGAAAGAAAAACTTAGTAGATTATAATTTGAACAAATATCGAATGTACGTTAAGTTTTTAGGCTATAAATTCCTCATTTCTAGACTGATAACTGCTGGTCGTGAATTATAATAAACATAAAAGAGAGATTAAAAAAAAAGTATTACGTAAGCATAGGCGGTGAAGAGGGAATAAGAACATAACTTACTTTTGCATACGAAGGAGGTGTAGGTTTTAAAAAAATTACTAAAATTCTGTTTACCTAATACATACTTGGAGACTTTTATTTTCATGCGAAAAAGGTATACATTCATACATACATATGTATGTCTGTATGCATGTACGTATGTATGTATGTAAGGCTATACATCTTTTACACATTTCAAGGCCATACAAATTATTCATGACAAATTTTATTTCAAACAAAAATGTCACTCGCTAGCAAACTCGGATAAGTTATTGAATTACTAATGTGTTTGCCTCGTTCGTTTTTTTTTTTTTCATTTCCTTTGTTAAAATTTTTTGTCGTTTAACTTGTCCTTTGCAACTCCAAATGCTGCTGTTTTGAGAAACCGGTTATTTTCAATGCTCCTTAAAGCTACAGCGAACACTAGCTTATTTTTTTTATATTTATTTATGTACATATATGAGCAGGTATTGCAATAAAAGCTGTAATTCTTTGCAATTTCAAACCTTTTAGCAACCGAGTGTAAAAATAAAAAAAATATCAAAAACTCGTGTGTAGATTTTTTTTAGCCACGAAATTAACTTACATACATAGTATATGTATTGCATTTTGAAGAGTAATTTTGCAGACGAAAAGTTTATTGTGCTATGTGAGTTAAGCGTGTCAATAAACCTATATACATATGTACGTGTTTTTGCCCGAATTATGCGAGCGCTTGCAGTAATCGTATGCAGAAAAATTTGCTGATATGTATTTATAAAAATAGGAATAACAATTTTTGAAATTTTTAAGGAAAACTAACAAAAAAAAACTTTTTAGATTAACATAGAAAATGCCTTCAGGGGTACTCTAAAAATGCTAAAGGTTTTTTTTTTTAATATACATAGCTTTGAAATTTGATAGAGAAAACTAACGTAATACGTAAGTATGTAAAAAAACACGTTTCCTAAAAAGGGTCATATAGGGTATAGGACCGCTCTGAAATTTAATTTGAAAAGTTTTTCGCTTCTACAAAATTTTGAATTTTGTCAAAAAACCACAATCGAGATAACAAATTGGCTCCCAACAGGTTTACCTAAATTGTCAAATTACTTAATTGGCCCTATGAATCTACGCTTTCACGATCAGACCCATTATTACGAGTACCTTTGTTCGGTATCGGCTTGTTCTTATTTTAATTGATCTCTTGTACATGTATCTTGCTAAAACTATTCTTATACCTAGATGTTCTTTGTCTACCTCTATAGACAGGCTTTAAAGTTAGTAGTTTTCAGTTGAGTCGTTAAAAACCACACGGCGACTTGCACGCAAGCTATGCATGGATGCAGAAATGCATATGGTTGGTTGTATGTCCAATAGGGTGGTCCAAAAATGCATGTGAAAAAGTAAAGTCGGAATTTTAATGCTCTCACCCCCTGGATTGTTTTATACAAAAAAAAATATACCCTTATTTTTTATTTTGAAGTCAAAAGATATTTAGAGGTCGCTCAAAGTGGCTAAAATTGTCCATGTATTTTATATGGGGAAAAAACAACTTTTCGTAGAAATGGTATAGAATAGTCAAAAATCAATACTTTTCTACCAGAGATTCCCAATAGTAATACCCAATTGTTTATTTAACCATTTTTTCATTGCAACTATAATTTATAGGTCCGCCAGAAGCCCACAAAAACCCCGAAAAATGCAAACGGGCGACCAATAAAAAATCGTTATTATTAAAAAATGGTTAAATAAACAATTGGGTGTTATTATTGAAAGTCTCCTGAAGGGAACCGTAGTTTTCCATTCGAAAAATATTGACTTTCAAGAATTCTATACCCTTTGTACGAAAAAATTATTTTTCCCGTATAAAAATAAATGGAAAACTTTGCCCGACCTCTAAATATTTTTTGATTTCAAAATAAAAAAATAGGGGTATACTTTTTTTCGATATAGAACAATCCTAGGGGGTGAGAGCATTACAATTCCGACTTTACTGTTTTTGGACCACCCTAATGTCCAAGTAATGTACATGCATATCTGGCGCTCACTTATCGCTGTGCATTTACCGTTTTTTGTATCGGACAAATGGTTTTGCGGTGAGCCACAATTATTGTGGGAATGCAGAGGTATAAAAAATATTTAATTAATTGGCCGTTGCATGCGCGTGCCATAAAGGGTTATCCATTTAGCGTTTCCAAAAGTAAGCGTAAATAAAAGACACATACTTTTCAAGTACTCACAGTTGGAGCTTTGTCGGCATAAAACGGAAATTAGCGTAACTCCTCAGAAAGCAGTCCAAAGGTGCTGTGCTGGACTTTAACTGGTTTGTGGTTTTATTCCCAATGTAAAATACGTCATAGTGTACTGTAAGGTAGTACCAATTCTTGAAAACGTCAAAGGATTGGCAAATTTGGTCTTCGGCCGAAACGAGCAAAATGATCCTTAGGAAATCCTTCAACGATCCAGTTTCTTCTTATTTTTTAAACTTTTACCTATTTCTAGCTTAATTGGATGATTATGTACACCATAATCTCCTCTTAAAGTGCGAAACGTAGCCATTTTTTTATTCGGTCTTTATAATTTTGACTTTACTTGCAATCCAATAGACTTACTTACTATATACTTACATATATATACTTACTTATATATACTTACTTATCTTTGAAAATGGCCGACTATTAACTAAAAGCACATTATGTTCATTTAGTTTGATGACTATCAGCTTACAGTCCTGCTTTTTCGAAACCAATACCCCGAAATGGATAACCCTGTATATTATATGCATACTGCGCATTTTCATTCATTTTATGGCGGTGGATATAATAAGGGTACTCGTATATACGCGCAAGTTTCATATTTGGGCAATTGGGCAACTTTGCGCCATGTGTTCCATGAGGGCAATTTTTTATTTTATGCAATTTCTGAAATTTAATTATTTGAACAATTGAAACTCAAATTTGAGTAAATATTTAAGTCTTACCGCAGTTATTTCCATGATAAAAATATAGCAAGGTAGAACCGTTCTCTCAATTTGTCGGCCATGATTTTTTTTTTTGAAGTTTGCCAACATTTTAAAATCATATAAAAGTGAAAATAAAAAAATAAAATTGTTCGAAATTGTTGCTGCTTGAGATTGAAAATGAAAATGTGTGTGAGTAAATTTAAAAATTAAATTGTTTGAAAACGTCAAGAATTTTAAAAGTGACTCTCAGCGGTTCTACCTTACTATATTTTTATCATGGTTATTTCGAAAAAGCGTTGAGCACAAACCAAAATGAATGTAAACAAAATAGCTGATTGAGGGTTGCACAGCACACTGCGCAAAGGTACGCTACAAAATTGCCGCGCAAAGTTTCCCTTTTTGTGCAATAGGCTTTCCATACAAATCTTGACATTTCATTTGCGAGGGTTTAAAATTGCACAGTTTGCCCAGTTTGCGAGAGTTATGCGCTTTTAAATGAGTACCCTTAATGTAAATCAGCTGTTTGTTAATATTTATTGCATGTACTAAGGTAAAGCCACAGCTCGAAGGACGTTCGTTAAACTAAATGCCAAGCATGCAAAAAAATGTTAATACGTACGGATAAATGCAGTTGTGCAGTTGTTGTATTACTTAAGTACATACGTATTTATGTAGTATATCTACGTCGATGGCGATTTATAGAATTTTTGTGTAACCTACTTTCTATTAATTAAAATAAACCTACTGGAATCTTAAGTAAGATGTTGAGTAATAGGCGATATAGAAAAGAAAAATGCAATAAAAAAAACATTAAATTGTAGATACATAAGCACATAAGTACATACATACATACATTTAATATGTTTATGTTAAAATGGTTCGGCTATGAATGTAGGCAAAATTACGTCTTACCTTACATCAATTCATGCTGATAGCATTTGCTCCAACTCACCACTTTAGGATAGATGCATCAAGTTCTGAAAATTTTTGTTGGGCGATATTTAACAATGATACAAACTATTTAATCGGAAAGCATACGGGCTATAATGTGGATCCACATAATTAAAGTGTACAATTTTGCTCTTTCAACTTTGTGTAGCTACAGATAATTTGATAAGCACTATTTTTAAAATGTTTATATTCACATTATCATATGCAAAATCACACATCGTAGGACAATCATTTCCAAGTAGTCGCGTGATATTCTAGTTTTGAATGGACTACTGAATCTACAAGCATTGATAACCTTAAAATTAAGTAAGCATTGATGACATTCAACCTCATTTTGATAAATCGTCCCCTGAGTAAAATATTGTCGTATATTACGCACGTACGTATGACGCTTACGACAATCTTTTACCCAGACGACGAAATGCCTTAATGTTAGTGTGTAAAATTTGGTAAAAATAGAGAGCGCACTTAAACTTGTTGTTGCTTGCCAGGCCTAAGTGTATTTAAAAGCAATTCGATTCCAGTAGTTAAAAAGGTACGTACATAAATAGCACCTCTTTAAGTCTAATTTTTTTTCGTTTTTATGTAATGTTCTCTAGCTCGCTACGCCAAATAATAATATTTATTGTTCCATGGGATCTACATAGATCTGGGAATTCAGCACGAACGATAATGGCAGCATGCTTCGGCTTATTAAAAGTAACATTCGGGCCATGGACCCAACTTTTAATAAGTTTTAGTACAATTTTCTTTTAAAATACATACATATATTGAGATTTTCGGATTTGAATTCTCATATAAAAATTTAAGATTATCGTTAATGTCTTCATGATCCAATGATTGGATTTAAACCAAATTAGTATGGGACCCCCTGTGAGGTAACACCTTTCCTTTAAAATTAAAACTTCCCAACGGAGTGCATGATGGTACACAATCCCTCTTCTGTTGGACAATTCTGGTCGCTCTTTCTTGATTTCTTCGTTCCGTTTGATGGAGTTGTGCACAGTGGAGGACCTAATTGATCGTTTAGTCAGGATGTAGCAGTTCATGAAAATGAAAAATTACCTTCCAATCCGAACAAAAACTCAACAAAACCAGGCTTTGAAGTCGTTTGAGGAGGTTCATCGGTCTTTGACCAGGATCGCTTGCGTTGTTTACTCTCGTATCCAATCCAGTTTTCACCTTCCATAATGATTCGCCTCAAAAATGGTTGAATTCCGTTGCCTTTCAGCAGTGCTTCACTGATAGTCAATCAAATTTCTGTGCGTTCAGCCATGTAGCTTGCAAACTTCGAGCTTCTCTAAGTAGTCTACTCTTTTTAGATGAGAATGGACTACATATTTTTTTCTAAAGCTTCTGATTAAAAAGTTTGAAATTTGGGTGAAAATTTGCGAAATTTTTATAATTTTTGTACAAAGTGTGAAATCTGAATTTATATGGTGTTTGTTGTATAGCCAGCTAGACATTAATAAAAAAACTAATAAACATTAAATAAATAAAAGACAAATAGCCAAAACTGGTCAAAATATCGCACTCCTATTATTTTGTGGACAACTGTGAGAGCCCAAGGTTTACTTTGGTTTAGGGATATAAGATATTTATTTTGCATTTTTAATGGGAATCATGGAAAACAGAATTTCACAGTGATAACGTTTGTAAGACTTCGTTGCCAAAAGTCTAATTTAATTGCTCGAATCGTAATAAATAATTACCAGAAAATTTTTACGAATTAATTCCACGAATCTACGATTTTTCTATGCAAATTGTAATAAAAAATTTATAGTTTTTTATGTGATCATAGGAATCAGTTGACTTTAAAGTTAGTATAATTTCAGTACTAATACAAAATTTCAATTTATTTTATAAATATTAAATATACGTTTACAAATTGTATTATTTTTATACCTTTCCAGACAATTTCGGATACCCGCTTACATCGCTCCAACCGGTACTTCTTTAATTATCTACACTGTAAGTGCCATACAGATAAGAGAGCTCAGAAATTAAAACCCAAATCTACATAGTATATCTGTTGAATTTGATTACCGTTTACAGAGCCAAGAAACATCAATATGTTCATACCAGTTGCCCAATCGGCCTTCAGGGCTTTGAGACAATCTACACCGCGTGTTCGCATCTTTCTGATCAACAAAAATGCCTACTCTAGTCAGGTAAATTAAAAAATTGCGATAACTTAAAAAATAGTAATGCATAAATAAACACCAGGCTTCAAATAAATCTTGCTTTGGCGCTGAGCTTACCTCACTTTATTTTTATATCTCCCTCTCCGTGCTTCCAGGTCGAATACAAACCCATACGTTCGGTGCTGGTCGCCAATCGAGGCGAGATCGCCATTCGTGTCTTCCGTGCTTGCACAGAGTTGGGTATCAAATCGGTCGCCATTTACTCGGAGCAGGACAAAATGCATATGCATCGTCAGAAAGCTGATGAGTCGTATATTGTAGGCAAAGGTTTGCCACCCGTTGAAGCCTACCTGAACATTCCAGAGATTATACGTGTTTGCAAGGAGAATGATGTGGATGCTGTGCATCCTGGTTATGGTTTCCTTTCGGAACGTAGCGACTTCGCCCAAGCTGTTATTGATGCTGGCATCCGTTTTATTGGTCCCTCACCGAAAGTGGTCCAACAGATGGGTGATAAGGTGGCGGCACGTGTTGCAGCCATCGAAGCGGGTGTACCAATCGTGCCAGGCACAGATGGACCCGTCACAACGAAGGAAGAAGCAGTGGAATTCTGCAAGAAACATGGTTTGCCAGTGATTTTTAAGGCTGCCTTTGGTGGTGGTGGTCGTGGTATGCGTGTCGTACGCAAAATGGACGAAGTCGAAGAAATGTTTCAGCGTGCCAGTTCGGAGGCGAAGGCCGCTTTCGGCAATGGTGCTATGTTTATTGAAAAGTTCATCGAAAGGCCACGACACATTGAAGTGCAACTGCTGGGCGACAAGGCGGGCAATGTTGTGCATTTGTTTGAGCGCGACTGTTCGGTACAGCGTCGTCATCAGAAAGTGGTTGAGATAGCGCCTGCGCCGCGACTACCCGAAGAGACACGCAATAAGATGACCGAGGCTGCAGTGCGTTTGGCAAGACATGTTGGCTATGAAAATGCCGGTACTGTGGAATTTCTTTGCGATGAAAAAGGCAACTTCTACTTCATTGAAGTGAATGCCAGGTAAGACTCAATAGTCCAGAAATATGTACATACATATTTCCAGAGCAATATTTCAAATTTGAAAACATATATTTAAATTGTTTAGATTGCAAGTGGAGCACACAGTAACTGAAGAAATCACCGGAATTGATTTAGTGCAATCACAAATTCGTGTGGCCGAAGGCATGACTCTACCCGAACTTGGCTACACACAAGATAAGATCCAACCGCGTGGTTACGCCATTCAATGTCGTGTCACCACCGAAGATCCTGCCAATGACTTCCAACCCAGCACTGGTCGCCTAGAAGTATTCCGTTCCGGCGAAGGTATGGGCATTCGTGTGGATAGTGCTTCCGGTTTTGCAGGCGCCATCATCTCGCCTTACTATGATTCACTGCTCGTAAAAATTATCTCGCATGCCAGCGACTTACAGAGCTCAGCAGCTAAAATGAATCGTGCGCTACGTGAATTCCGTATACGTGGTGTGAAAACGAACATACCATTCTTGTTGAATGTTTTGGAAAATCAGAAATTCCTGCATGGCGTCTTGGACACCTATTTTATCGATGAGCATCCTCAACTGTTCAAGTTCCGTGTCTCGCAGAATCGTGCGCAGAAATTGCTGAACTACATTGGAGAAGTGCTTGTTAATGGCCCACAAACGCCGTTAGCAACCAATTTGAAGCCGGCTGAGATTTCGCCACATGTACCGGAAGTGCCATTAGGTGAGTAGAGATTTTGTGCCAAACATTCATTTAAATGATATCGTAAGTAGTTTACTGCTTTAATGTGTGAAAGCGTGCTGATTTAAAAATGCAAAAGCAAAAATCCTTTCATATCCTCACGAATTCATATCCTTCCTCTTCCCGCACTAAACATACTTTATTAATATTCATAATATTTTAACTACTTTTTTTCATAATTTATTTGTGAAATTTATATCGTACTATTTGGATTTTCTTCAATTAACACAAATTAACCTAAAAAATAGCATAAAAAATTTAATCTGCAATGTTGCCGAGGTATTAGATTTTCATACCGTGCACACTTCGATGCTTTTACGAAATTGAATAAGCAAATCGGTAAAGCAATGAAAATAATGCTGGGATGTGAAGAATTTTTTCACAATTTTCTTTAAGAAATCGTAAAGAAATTTTTTTCATATGATTTTCTTTGAAGATTCGTAAACACTTGTTACAGAATTCGAATACTATTAAAGATTTCGGGAACTTCTTTTTGCAGGGAGTCTCAGCAATGGGCTAAGAAACCAAACAAAATAAAATGAAACTTTCAAAGACAATTCTCTAAAATATTTATTTATTTTTTTTAGGGCTGCACTAATTGCATACTTTTATTTTTAGACTTACTTGCTGTCTCCATTCGCGTACAGCCATCGTAGGAGATCTGTCAGTTTCATCGCAAGCGAAATGCTCATCGCAGAGAAATTTGTGTACTTGGGCATTTCATCGCAGAAGATTTAATTTCAAAAAGTGCTTACGAGTGCACGCAAAAGTATCAAGTTTAAGTTGTTTAAGTTGTTAAGCTGTGGAACTAACTATTTGATAGTTTCATCGCCTGTGGTAGCTCGCAAGCGATATCTGTTGCGATTGCGATGAGCGGTCTCCACAAGCGCTTCATCGCAGGGGATCTATCGCAGCAGATGAACAATCGCTAATGGAGACAGCAAATTAAGAAAAGTAAATAGTCCTTAGCAGCTTCGTTTGTTTGGCGAACACATACATAATGTGAAGGCATTTCTATGAATTTATTTGCATCCCAAATATTCACTATATAAAGCTTTTATTTGTCAACACTTCATTTTACATTGTCATTCATTTTAATTATTTTTTAATTGTTCATGTCCTTTCCTTAGATTTTCGAAAAACTTCGTGTCCTTATCAACCATTCTCTATTTCATTTTATGATGTTTAGTATTTAGAAATTCATAAATATTAAATTACTAAAATACAACATTTCATTTTCAATATTAATAATTTTGTAAACATACATACATATGTATTTTTATGTTCGGGTTTTGAATTTTATGTACATCGCTAGCAGTTTGAACTTAGCTCAAGCATTTTCTTTCACATGCATCCTTCCCCGAATATTCAACTACAGTGAAAGCCTTCACAGACGCACGCTCTAATAAGCGGACATCTTTTATAAGCGGAGACATTCTTTGGAACGAAAAATGTTTTGTTTTTTCCATACAAAATGCTCTCCCGTACACGGACCTTCCGATAAACGGACGCGGACACTCGAAACATGTCTAGTCATGAAAAAAAACTCCCATAAACGGACGCGAAGCTCTAACAAGGGGTCAATTTTGTTTTTTTTTTCAGTCATATGTTGACTCTTGTGCTTGTACATACGTATATGTACACAAGAACATACGTCCATATTCAAAGATATTTTCTTTTCTTTCTCATTTCTCATAGGCGGACAAAAAGTAGGTGACGATCGGTGTCCGCTTATGGTAACTTTCACTATATTTTGAAACCCTTTAGCACTCTAATGAGTATTAGCTTTTTTTATTTTTTTTTTTTAATATTTTCATCGTTTCTTTTTCATTAAATCACATTTTACGTCGTCTCTGTTGTTTTTTGTTTTTTTTTTTTTTTGATAGTGGTTTTGTCTATTCTGCTTGCTCTCCATTCTACCTTAATTAAGTTAACGCTTTCACTTGTCCATGTCCTATTTCTAATTATGTTGATTTTCAAAATCTTGAGATTTTCAACTCACTTTCAAAACTGGGATATTGTTTCTTATCGGCATTTGCATACAATGACGAACAAAAGTATTGTCACAGAGAGAATTTTTCGCGTGAAAATTGCCTTGATTTTTGGCAATTTTTTGCGGACGGTGTTATTACTTTCTTTCATACAAAAAAATGTCCACCATACTTTGTATGCGAGAAAAAATTGCCAAAACTCAACGCGATAGTTTGGAGCTTCAGACTTGCACTTTGTTATACATACTAAAATTAAATGGGCTATAAAACTGCATACTTGGAATTTTTCTATAAAATACAATTGAAAAGTTGCAAATTTATTGAATTTTCTTGAGTTTTGCACAAAGTTAAAAGATTAAATTTTTGTGTTTTTTGTTGTAGTTTGAACTATATTTTTATAAATAATTAGCGAAAAGAAATTATAATAAACAACTTTGCATGTAAATATTGCAATACTTTTGTTCGTCACTGTATATAAAAATTTGCTTCGATTTTCACAATGATTGGCTTTAAATACGGGTACATATATTTTTCTAACTGTCCTCTATCTCTTCTCGGCAATTCTGGTTTCCTATCCTTAATTCCCAGCTCCATTTGCATATCTTTTATCTAGTTACTCCCCTTCTCTCTTATACTCTCCATTAACATTATAAAATGCTTAGCCAGATTGCTTATCCGCTTGACCTTACCGCATACTGCCTAAATTCCTTCCTCTCGTCCTATCTCTGCGCGCTTTGAATTTACATATGGAAATCTTAAAATTATCGGCATACATATATACAAATATATACTATTTATGTATCGTTACCTTAATATAGAAAGGCCCTATCTCAGACCGTCGCTGAAATACAAAAGGCCGTAACTAATTAAAAATCCGAAATTTCCTTTTTGATTTATTATGAAGCATTTCAGCAATACAAATTTTTTAGTTAGTTACGGTTTTTTGCATTTCAACGACTATATGTGTTAGGGCCTTCTATATTAAAGTAACGGTATGTACATATGTCTTCTTTTGCTTACTTCTCTTTTTAATTTCCTTAATGTTTCTTATCATTTTACGAATTTATTTTCTTTATTACATCGTATGATTAATCTAAAAACAAATGAATAAACAATATTTTATTTGGAAACCAAAATAAAAAAAAAAAAACAATTGCAAATTACACCATTTTGTAACATCACCGAAAAAAAAAACAAAAAAACTCACAATGATCATGAAAACCATTCGAACTTTGAAATTGTGATCACAATCACTCGAAGACCTGTCTCCCGAGGCAATTAGGCGTGAAGAGCGCGGGGAAGCCAAAGGTATGTTTTGAATCTGCTACTACAACTACTACTTTTCGAATTTTCATTCTTAATCATGCTATATTATATATAAATATATGGTGTGTTTATCTACATACATAAAATACATACATATATATATGTGAATAGGTGTATCCGCATACGCCTTTGCGAATATAATAAGACAAACCCTAATGACCTTAAAACCTAATTTGCATATCACAATCCACTTACATTTACACCATATACATATGCACATACATATGTATGTATTTGGTATTCAAATTGGCCCACATATTTGTAAAATTTTTGTAGGTTCACTGATCTTAAAAACACTATACCGATTTTATAAGTTTTTTCGCTTACTTTTTTCATTGGTTTCTCTGGTACTTGTTAGTACTTTCTCAATTCCATTATTTACAATTGGTTCTTACTTTATTTCTTCGTTCTACAATCTGTTTTTGGGTTTGGTTAGCCGAGTTGATGATATCAGAAGCGATACCATGAATAATTTTATAATATATAGCGTAAATATGTACATATTGTTTATTAAACTCTTGTTTTCTGTATTTTTCTACACGTTTGCGATTCGTTTTTGTTAAATTGCTTCAGCTTAGGCTTTAAGCTGCATTCGCAAGCGCAAGCGCATAACTCCGACTTATATGGCAGTGGCGGCACTAGTTCAAAATTTTCATTATAAAGCCTTACTCTGTGAATGCTAATAGCACTTTTATTTGCCAGTATCGGCCGAAAATAAGTCTCCCTGTCATATATTTCCGAGTTATGCTTTATTTGCTTTTTTTTTAATTTTTTGCTAATTTAACTGAAATTTTGTTTTAATAACATCCCATAAATTTTCTTAGTCACCGAACCACCAAAGGGTCTACGTCATATTCTAAAATCAGAGGGTCCCGAAGCATTTGCAAAGGAAGTACGCAGCCGTAAGAACCTCATGCTGATGGATACATCATTCCGTGATGCTCATCAATCATTGCTGGCTACACGTGTCCGTTCTCATGATCTGCTCAAGATCTCACCATATGTTGCACACAAATTCAATAATCTCTATTCGTTGGAGAATTGGGGTGGTGCCACTTTCGATGTGGCCTTACGTTTCCTACACGAATGTCCCTGGGAGCGTTTGGAGGAAATGCGTAAACATATACCAAATATTCCATTCCAGATGTTGTTGCGTGGCGCCAATGCTGTTGGCTACACAAGTTATCCAGACAATGTGGTGTATAAGTTCTGTGATCTAGCGGTAAGTTAAATATTTTTTTTAATTCTAAAAAAATATACGGCAACACACGCAGAAAATGTTTACATTTTTTCTTAAAAAAAAAAATAAAACAAATCAAGGTACATTGAACAGGTAGTATCAGTAGAGCAACTGATTTGATTTATTTTCAAATTATTTGGTCTCGAAAATGTCAAATATTTTTAATTTTTTCTCACAAAAATTCTGAATTGTTAAAATCCATTTGGATGTGAAACCTTTTTCCATACAAAACAAGCGATTGAATAGCAGCTTTTGGAACGTTCGCCCAACTCAGCAGCACCATCGCTGATTTCTGGCCCTTGTAAAGGATGGATCAATGCTTCGAGAAGCAAACAAATTTACTAGGAAAGAAAGTTGCAACAATTTATATTTTTTCCAATTTCAATTTTTTATTTTTTATAATTTTTTGTATTTCATATGGCACGCTTTGATTTAGAAGAAAAAATTCAGAACAGTTTTTGACACTTTCGATACCAGAAGCAACAACAAAATACACGCAAATGTTGTTTTTGCTCTACTGATACTACCTGTTTAATGTGCCTTGAAACAAATCGAAAAAATTTGTGAAAGCTTGCACTATTTTTATTCTTATTAAACTTAATTTCACTTAGGGCCAGTTTTTCAGTGCCAGTTAAAAATTACACCAAGTAAGCTGCGCTTATATTTAAAGCTGACTGAAATTTTATCTAAGTTTAAACCGCGAATAATTTTTTACGAAAACTTTTCTATACTTTATTTCAGGTCAAAACCGGCATGGATATTTTCCGCGTTTTTGATTCCCTGAATTATTTGCCCAATTTGATTTTGGGTATGGAAGCTGCTGGCAAAGCAGGTGGCGTCGTTGAGGCAGCTATTTCTTACACTGGCGATGTAAGTGATCCGACACGCACTAAGTACGATCTCAATTACTACACCAATTTGGCCGATGAGCTAGTGAAGGCGGGCACCCATGTACTTTGCATCAAAGATATGGCTGGCTTATTGAAGCCACAAGCGGCCAAGTAAGTTGTATATTATATCCTTATTCGGCTTTTTTCGATTTTTTAAATCAATGGTAAAGTTATATGTTAAAAATCCAATTGAGCACCTTTAAGATTTACACTCCCTTTTATTACTCTTATTTTCCTCCCCACTTCCAGGCTACTTATCACTGCCATACGCGACAAACATCCCGATATACCCATTCACATTCATACACACGACACTTCGGGCGCTGGTGTTGCTTCCATGCTTGCCTGTGCCGAAGCTGGTGCCGATGTTGTTGACACAGCTGTCGATTCAATGTCCGGCATGACATCACAGCCTAGTATGGGCGCTGTGGTTGCATCGCTGCAAGGTACACCGCTCGATACGCAATTCGACTTGCGTGATGTCTCCGAATATTCAGCCTACTGGGAGCAAACGCGCACACTATATGCGCCATTCGAATGCACCACCACCATGAAGTCGGGCAACGCTGATGTATACCTTAACGAAATACCCGGTGGTCAATATACCAATTTGCAATTCCAAGCATTCTCGCTGGGCTTGGGTGATTTCTTCGAAGATGTAAAAAAGGCATACCGCGAAGCAAACTTGCTATTGGGTGACATAATAAAGGTGACCCCATCGTCAAAGGTTGTTGGTGATTTGGCGCAGTTTATGGTGCAAAATAAATTAAATGCTGATCAAGTGCTTGAACGCGCCGAGGAATTATCATTCCCCAAGTCGGTGGTTGAATTCTTACAAGGCTCTATCGGTATACCACATGGTGGTTTCCCTGAACCTCTTCGTTCACGTGTGCTCAAAGATATGCCACGCGTTGAGGGACGTCCGGGCGCTAATTTGCCATCGTTGGACTTTGATAAGCTGAAAAATGATCTAAAAGAATCTCATCCACACATTAGTGATCGCGATGTTATGTCAGCGGCGCTTTATCCTGCAGTGACCGAAGATTTCATGTACTTCCGTGAGAATTATGGACCAGTCGATAAGCTAGATACACGCATTTTCCTTACTGGACCGAAAGTGGGTGAAGAATTTGAAGTTACAATTGAACGTGGTAAGACATTGAGCTTGAAGACTTTGGCAATGGCTGAGGATCTGACGGCGAATGGTGAACGTGAGGTATTCTTCGAAATGAACGGTCAACTGCGATCTGTGTTGATCCGCGACAAGGAAGCCGTGAAGGTAAGTAAAAAGCGCATGAAGCTACCTACGTAAGTACATATCGATGGCTGAGTGGAAGATCGACTTATCTCGGCAGCCAGTTCGAAAACGCCCTATCTGAAACAGAAATACTTTGAAAATGTACTGAATGTGATAGGACGATTTCAAACTGGCTGCTGAGATAGATCGATCTTCCACTCAGCCATCGATACCCATATGTATGTAAGAACATTAGACCGTACCACCGTGCAAGCAAACAAAAAAGTTCGCATACCCCTGAGTTAGAAATTTTTGCAAAGCAATGTCGAAAAAAAAATGTTGGGGCGAATCTAGTGGTCGCTTTTTTAAATTTTACGGTGACATCTACATTCGGTAGTAAATATTTCGAGATACCTCCTTCGTAAAAGTTTAATAATTTTTGACGAGCTTTAATTTACTGACATTAGAGTGGAACGTTAGGTACTGAGATCTGTTGGGTAAGTACTAGAACGGGGTACTTGAGGTTACTCAACTTTGGAACAAAAAAATTTCTTCTTGAGACAGAAATATCGATATAATATTTTAAGATATGACGAAAAATTTAAAAAGATGACCCCTACGTTCGGCATTTTTTTTTTTTTTTTCGAAATGACCTTGCAAAAATACAATATTTTTCTGGTACGGTCTAATGTACATAAGTATAGTACCGTAAAAAAAATGTTGTGCTTATTAACCTGGCCGCATTAGATGAATGGTTTGTGAATAACAAAAAGTTAAAGTTTTTAAGTGAAGTATTTGACTAAA